TGGTAGGAGGTAGGTGTCTGTGTGTGTGTGTGTGTGTGTGTGTGTGTGTGTGTGTGTGTGTGTGTGTGTGTGTGTGTGTGTGTGTGTGTGTGTGTGTGTTTGAGCAAGAGAGAGAAAGTGAGAGATGTTGACAGTGACTCTGTATGCAACTCTACATTGACAATAAATGAGCAGCTTTACCCCAGTGATGTGGCTAGACTCCATAACTCGGCACTGTGTTTCCTTATTGCTTAGCACAAGTAGACCTCCTCGAGTGTGATTGCATAGACTGCCAGGATAGCACTCATACTCACCAGACTTTCCATCCCCATATTTTCCTTGTATATGGTTAAAAATCCAGCAGAGTGGGATGCTAGACACACATGTGGTGTGCGGGTCTATTCTGGATTCTGGTAGCTGATATATACCCGTGTCGCCTGATTACTTCTCCTTCTGTTCTCATCTCCCACCTGCCACACGGTCAACAGAATGTTTCTCCTTCTTCCAGTGCTCATTGCTGTCGCAGGCACCTGTCTTATGTACCATGTACCCAAGCCGTTCTCTTTGCAATTCAGCACCTTGGATACTTTTCTGGGCTGTTTATACCATGGTGCTTTGGCGGCCATGCAGTGGTTGGCATTGAGCGCCATCTTCTGGCTACTCTCTGACCTCAGACATTTTATGAATATAAAGAATGAAAACAAAGAATGTAAGCAAGCCAACTTTCTACAGCCCCAAGCACTTTTACCTGTGTCTTTTTTTTAAATGGAGCTTTTTACTGAAGCAACATCCACATATCTTATACAAAGACTAATAATACACATTTCCAAAATGTAAGCAGTAATCTCAAACCATTTTATTTATCAACATCACATAGAGCATCAGATTAAAAGCAGCCACGACTGTGTAATCATAAATACATTAAATACATAACTTATTCAAAACCATACTGATAATATAAAACCTAAGCAGATTATATTCATTATATATAAATATCTTCTTGTGCTGCCAGTTTATATTTATATAATATACAGACATAAAAGGGTACCTCTGATTGATTGAGCTGTGACAATTTATATCAGGTGAAGCTCTGCCCCCAAATATTCAGTCCCACAGAACTGCTTCTTACAAAAACATCAGCCACTAAAATATGACCTCAGGTCTTTCCATTGGACTATTATGTATGCAATGTTACCAAACACACTATTCATGAAGGTGTCACAAAGAACAACTTGTAAGTTATGAAGGGCCTTTTCCTGAATCGTTGAAATTAACGGGAGTTTTGCCATCAGTGTTAATGAGAGCAGGATTAGACCCCAAAGGTCTAATACATGGTATTTTACTTCTATCTAGTGTTTTGTTATGTCCTTATGTTCAGACACACATGAATGCACATACAGGCCTTTAATCATGTCTGTCCCTAAATGACAGATAAGTTTAAAGGAATAAGTACACAGAAGGTCTGTAGTCACTACCTTTTGCGTTATACAACATGCTATTTTATCTGAACAGAGTAGATGTCACATACTTTTTGCAGAACATATATGATCCTGAACTCTAGGGCAGATATCCTACAGCAGTTCTACGATTTACAAACAGTATAGAATTACATGCAGAATAAAGTGCACAAGAAACTAAATATTTATTTCTATAGATTACAATACTTAATCCCATGGGGATGAAATTGTTTCAGGTCTACTTGCTGCATTCACGAACCAGACTGCCTGGCATAATTACTAACTCTGATAGTGCTCCCATTAGCAATGGTTTAAAGTTACAATATAAAAACTCGCTAGGAACTGCAGCAAAACACCCTGACCATAGTGTTACAGGCAGATTTATTAATTGTGACATATTGTTACAGTACATTTACTTCAACAATTACCAGTGAACCAAATCAATGGTTTGTAAGGCAATTCCACAAATATTTCCCATTCTAACTATTTTTCTTTAAAAATGGGACCCATGTGTTTCCATGGGAGAGATCTCCAACCACGTATATTGCAAAGTGTTCACTCCACCCTGGTACCTACAGACTGACCCTAGAGGAGTAGACAGCAGCTTATTTTGTCCCCATCCAGAGCATGAATATAGATCTCCCAATCACTGTAGCTGTACGTTGACAGGACCCATGTAGTCTCTTGGTAAACAGCTAGGGTTTTACCGCGAGCTTGCTTGTCTTCAGTGGCAGAACCAGACGACTGAGCTCAGTATTTAGTAGCAAGATCCAAGGCTAATCATCTTGTCAGCAAGATGTATCAACACCTGGCCGCTTGCTGAGGACTGCATAGCTCCATTTCCTGAGGGGCTCTGAGGCATCCGTGAAGATAGCTTCAATTCCTGCAGAGATAACAGATTTCCTTTTTAAAAGAGGAAGATACAGGCACAGGTTTGTATTCCCTTATTCCAAAGCTCTTTTGCATCTGGCCCATAGCCACATTGTAAAGGAGTTTCTACTATTTCCTAAGGTTGGGCACAGAACCTAACACAATTATCCTTTAGTCGTAGGAATGGCCATCGCTGAATCGATTAATCTGTCAATCTCTGGGTACTTTTATGGCATCATCACCACAGCACATATGCTAGGTGTCCCACAGTAAGTAAGGGGTTAATCTCATTGCAGGAAATACACAGCAGTTAAAGGTCATTCTAAAGAGCAGTGCGTTCTATGTTTGTTTGTGTTTTAAAAAGGAAGCTAAATTATGAGTGTAAATATCTTGCGTATCTTACCGGAGTCACTTGGCGTTAGATTAGATGAGCAGTGCTTTGGAAGGTACACTCTGAATTGAGACTCTGGCAGCTGCTGTAAGATATAGAGGAGAGGGATTTATATACAACTGTTCTGTACATCAGTGTGATGTTAGCAAAGAATGATTGCAATGCTTCTCATGTGTTTTTTTAAATACAACGTACCTGGCAGGAGTAAATTTCTTTGCTGCAAGAGAAAAAGATAATATCATTAGCATTCTGGAAATGACCATCTCCATCTTGCAAGCTATTTATTTCATTGTTTTGTTGGAGAATTACCCCACTGATTTAACAACAGAAATCTGTTATAGGCTGAGGCGAGGTATCATCACCTCTTCTCCATAACCCTTCCGACCTGTAATGGCCTTAGACCTGGAAGCTGTTCCCCAAAATGTTATAACCCATGAGCAGAGCAACTTGTTACATCTGGGCCTCTAGGACCAGCCCCTCTGCTCCCTGTGAGAAATCAGTACTTACTAGTAGGACTGAACAGGTATCTCAATGAACGCTCCACATATATTTGCCTAACTAACACAGTGTATTCTCTTAGAGTGCCTTTGTAGCTTTCTTGCGTTCATGTTCCATTCATATTCTAACAAACATATTGATTGTCAGGAAAATTAACAGAAATAATGCATCTTAAGTGAATATTAGGGAATATTCCTGGGAAGCAAATTCTCATCTTGTAAATGTAAGTTGTTTCATTGGAAACCTGATTTTATGTCTCATATAATCAGGGAAATGAAAGATACCATGTGACTGATTTGTCCAATTAGAACTAATCAGCATTGCTCATGTTTTGAATATCAAATGCTTGTAACAAACCGTGAGCAAACTGCAGAGCAGGAAAGTAGTCAGCAAATAATTTTTAAAATGCAGAGCAATCAAAAATGGCATAAACGGCTTATGTATTACTTGTGAGAAGAAAGAGAGTCTCCATTTGACAAATAAATTATTTGCTCTGAATTATTTGTTCAGCTCTGCAGTCATAATTGTTTCTATAGATATCTGTTTCTATAACAGTCATTATTCATATCTCTAGAAACAAGGTGATCCAATAAAGGACATTATTTCACCCACCTTGTCTCTCTAATATATTGGGACCAACACGGCTACCACAACACTGCAAATGCCCTATCTGGCATACTGAGCAATAGTGGTTGGAGGCACCAGTGTTATTTCTGGTTGATGTCCTCCTGGCTGATCCCTGGTCAGTTCTCCTGGCAATAACTGCTAATGATTAAAGCTGGTCGAAAAACATATTTTATTTTCTGCAGCAATGTTCAGAGAACATGAAAATTCTTCATTTTTGTTGAATTTGGGGAGATTTTTGTCAAAAACCTAAAAATGGAATATTTCGAGGGAAATTTGAAAAATTTCAACAAAGATGGGAATTTTCTCACTGAAGTTTCCACTTTTTTTTTTCTGAAAAATTTCCAACCAGTTCTACAGAGGGTGCAAATAAAGAGATGAACCTGGGACAGTATCTCACCTTTCCTTCGAAGGCGCTTTACAAGCCAAATGAGGAATGATGCCGTCGACAGGAGCGAGGCTCCGGTGGCTGCTATTCCAACAGAGACGTAACTGAGCAGTTCTTCAGGCACTTGGGGAGCTAAGAAGGCAAAGAAGATCCTATGAGCTCAGGAGGAATGCACAGTCTCTGAAGTGCTTTCTGCTTGTTCCGTTTCCATTCAGTCCTATTCCAAGCAGCAGGACAGCTGCTTATTTCTTTTGGTTTCTCACACTGAGTGGTGGCACCTGCTGTACGCAGGACTGGGCAGGGAAAGCCTCTGCATATGCCAAACAATGGCTGAAAGCTTTATGCTGAAAATAGTCCCGTCTAACTGGTGGCAGGTTAGCAGGGATGCAATTCTGCAGGGTCCCTTGTTACTTTGAATGGATCTTTAGGGTCAGATTTTGATATCTTTACTCCCACTGAGTAATGATATCTTTACTCCCACTGAGTAATGATATCTTTACTCCCACTGAGTAAAGACTCCTTGAGCAGTCCCACTGAAATCAATGAATTGACTCAAGGAGTAACGTACGACACAATGTGAGGAAAGGTATCTTAGGGACGATAGGTGGGATTTTTGAAAGTGCTCAATGTGGCCCATTGTTGCTCCTATTGCAATCAGTGACACAACTCCCGTTGACTTGGATAAGAGCAGAGTTAAGCTAAGATGGAACATTTTTTTAAAATCCCACTCATTTTTTAAATCCCACTCATAATTTGCGACCACTTATAGAAGTGAGCTATTTGGTTCTAGCCTGAAAATATGTCCGTTATGAGGTATTTAGAGCTGGCAAAAAAAATCAGTCTAAATGCTTTTTTTTTTTAAATTAGGTTTTTGCCCCAATGAAAATTGTCACAGAAATTGTTTGCTTTCCTTGAAAATTTTCAATTTTTCGATGGAAAGCCAAAAACAGGAAAATTTTTAGCTGAAAACCAAAAAATGTCAATTTCTGAGTTTTGGGGATTTTTAACAAAAAGTCAAATATTTTCAATGGGAAAAAATATATCTGACCAGCGCTAGAAATGACAAAAGTCATTGCATCCCATCCTTCCCTAGATTCTCATCTAATAACAAGGCCAGGCCTCTTCAGCACCTAGTCACAAGTAAAAACACACATAAAATACCTTCGCACGTCGGCTGACTTGCAGTCCAGTTCCCTGCAGCGCCGCACTGAAGTACATTAGAGCCATTTAGCAACCATCCCCCTGTACAGTTAAACTCGCAAACTGTGCTGTATGCAAAATCCCCAAGTGGGTGTGAACAATTCATGGAGCCCTTCTCAGGGAGTATCAGGGTTTCACACTGTGCAACTGAAATACAAAAACACATACAAACGGTTAACGAAGACTCTAAGAAATGTCCAAAACTGGGTCCCACTATTGGTGCTAGTAAATGTGCACCATATTTCACCATCTGCATTTCATTGCTGGGATAAATGACCTTGCAGTGAATTTTTCCTAAAATATATTAGACTTCAGCAAAGTAAAGGGCTGGTAGTATTAATGTATCAAGCTAACTTGTTTTTTCAAATGTTCTGCACTTTAAGACTTTAATAGGAATCACTTTAGATCAGATCCTCAGCTTATGCAAACTGGTGTAGCTCCGTTGAGTTCAATGGTGGTACACCAATTTGCACCAGCTCACGAGCTGGCCTTACTCTTTAATACACAGGGTTTGAGGTGTCATGCTTGTAACAGATACCTAGGCTCCTGAGCCTGACTTGATTATTTTGAAAGGACAAAGACCTACCTTCACACTTTGGGAAGGGCTCTGACCATTCTCCCTGAGCTGTGCACTGAATTGCGGGTGATCCACTTAATCGGTAGCCCTCCTCACAACGGAACTCACAGGCCGAGTTGTGGGTGAATTCTGGATGACGGCTGGTACATTCCACAAAGCCGTTTTCAGGCCTGTTCACTGCTTCACACGTCACAGCTGAGACACACAGAGAGCACATCAGTGGTTAGTTTGGATGTCACAGGAGCACTCTACACAAGCAGTGAGAGCCCTGTGTACTGGGAAGGGCAGTGATAAAGAAAGGTACCTTCGCATTCCGGCTGCTCTCCATCCCACTTTCCAGAAGCGCCGCACTGCAGCCTGTCTGATCCCGTCAACACAAACCCTTCTTCACAGGCAAACTCACAGGTTGAATTCCACAGAAAGTTCCCAGAGGCGGGAGAGCATGTCAGGGAGCCATGAGCTGGAGCCTTTAAGCCATCACACTGCACAACTGCAAATCACATGGAATAGCGTGGAGCTTAGTGTGGAGCAAACTAAGGGAAAAACTTTTCTTTTGCATAGTAACAGAATATACATTGATGGGAGCTGGGCATTAGCGAGCGAAGCTATCTTCA